GACACGTCTTATAGTACCATGTCGTCTTTCATCCGCATCACATTCTTCTTCAAGTTTAAGAGAGGGGGGGGAGATGAAAAAAAAAAAAAAAAAAATTAATCCAAAAGGATGAGGCAAAATTGTACTGGAGGGCATAAAAAGGTGACACAGTCACTGTACTATACGCCGTTCTTTTTTTTATCTTTGGTAAACACACATTTCATGTTTTTCTCTTAAATGATTTACATTTTCGATGGCTCCATACTTCAGAAGCAATTGATATGCTAAAAAGAGGAGAAATTTAAGAGGAAATCGGCGTAAGTGGGGATAAAATAGGGGCAATGTCTAGGTGAGACTGGGATGGTGTTGGCACATCCGAAGGAGAAATAAAAATGTGTGCTATGTAGAAGTGAACGCATAAAAAGTTGCGGTGATATGTATAGAACTGTTACAACTGTTACAATTGGCTCCCTAATTTTTTGGGCACCTTTCGAGTTATAGCCACATTTGTCCAGGGCGGTTTCGTCAAAATTGTCTATTATATTTATTCCAAGATCTCCGCCCTTTTTTAATATCGCCTCAATCCAGTCCAGTGGCACCTTGACAGAATGAACAGGAAAAATGTGATCCGTGTAGAACGCTTCCCCAGCTATTTAGCCGCCCCCCGCACACTATACGGGAGCGAAAATATGCAGTTGTGCAGTTGTACATGTGGACAGCTGCCCATATGAAAAGATACACGTGTGTATTTTCCCACCCTCTTCTCACAAGCAATCATCAGAGCGGTCTGGTTGTTCCTACTGAGGGCATTAATATCCAACCCGCGCCTAGCCAGCAAGTACCCAACGATGGTCTTCTTGTTCAGAAGGATTGCCATTTGCAATAAGGTGAAAACGGGTTCGCTCGGGCTGAGGGGGCATAAAAAAATAGAATTATACAAATATGTGTGTGTACATGCACACTGATGGATGTGGCCTTTCAGGAGAAATTTCATATTCACATGATCGGATATATTTTATGAGGAGCCCCTTTTATAACTGCCTTTGTGGAAAATTCCAACTTTTCCTTAAAATTAGCTATTTGCACATTCCAGTACGGCTTCAGCCTTTTTACATCTTCTATGGTCATTCCTACAGATAAATGAATAATAAGAAAAAAAAATGAAGGAATTTAAAGGGGAGCCATTAAAATAGGAGAAAAAAAAAATGTGTGATGAAAGCCACACTTCTTTGTGCCATATCAACCTGATACAGAATCTTCGTTAATGAGTATACTTTCATAGTTAAACATAATTTTTGGAGAATGGGAAAAAAAAAAAAAAATAAGCTATCTCTCCTTGTTCAGCAGAAAGGGAACCTCATTAAGGGGGAAAAGAGCAAAAAGAAAAGTGTACGGCTGCAGAAAGAAATAGATAGTCGATAAGCGAAAATTTCGGGTAATATTCCTACTGCTTAAATACGCAGACAATTCATTTGCAGTGCGACAAATGACATTTCTCTACCCTCTATGTTCAGTGCCTTTCATAACTAAATTTCGAAGGCTATTGTTTGTGGTGTACATAAATGGGGACAGATACACAGGCATATGTCCAAATGTATATGTGTAGACACTGGAGAGCCCTCCATTACATGCACATTTGCACATTCACGCGGAGTTAGATGACATAGGTGAGAAGCGGTAAAATAAGGGGAGCTATAATTTTACAACGTAAAGCATTATCTTTAAGGGGACAGACGTTGCGCTTAGAGGCGGAACTGTAGTGGCAGAAAGGCACAGCATGGCTTCATTGCGCATTTTGCCGCGTGTAAGGGTTGAAGTACACACGCGTATAGGCATATACACATGTGTGCAGATGCTTATATACGTGTGTACGTACGCACATGTCTGTGCACAATTAGACAAAAAAAGAATGGACTAAAGTGGGCAATCGGGTGAATGTTTTTTTTTTTTTTTTTTTTTCTTTTCACTTTTGCGTGCGTTCAAAAGAGGAACGGGAATGAACACTGTTTAGTTGATCCCTTCGGGTGAATTCACTCCTCATTAACGTTTTGTGAGTTTCCTTTGTTGTCACCTTTGCTGTCATTTTTGTTGTCATTTTTTTTGCAGCGCGTATACGCAACTAAAATTTTCCTCCACGAAAAGGGAGAAAAAAATTAAAATCGCCGCTACGTACGTCTCCCTAATGATAGTCGCGTCTGGTTTGAGATAGGCGCAAAGTACGGTACGCTTAAAAAAATAAATTGTTCATAATGAAATTTAAAATAAAGAGCAAAACATGAAAGCGAGATCGAATTGCACTAAACAAACATGTACTTTAACATACAATATTGCCGTTACACAATTTTGTGCTTTTTTCTTCACTACGACAGTATTATGTATTGTTTTTTTTCTTTTTTTTTTTTTTTTAACCTTTATAAGACTTTTCAAGTTGTAATTTGACATATGATACGACTGGACATGTAAGTTATGTTCCCTGCTGAACGAATTATCATACGAGTTACACGTTGCGTCGTAACATTTACCTCGAAGCGTTTCAAATTATGTATTCGTTTTGTTGGAGGAGATTGTACAACGGGGGAAATTTGCCCACACATTTAACACTTTGGGAAAATCTCATTGCGTAAAGAAAGGGGATGTTATATCATTCCAAGTGTTGATATTTATTCCTTTTTTCACATTTTTTGGAAAACAAAACGAAAGCAAGAAAAAAAAAGAACACTTTGCTGAGTTCGTTGTGTGTGTGTGCTTTTCTTCATTTGCTCTCCCCTTTTTTGATAATTTCCTCTCCGTGAAGAAAACGCATATACCTAGGAATGTTCATTTCTTTATACATAAATGAGCACACGCGTATAGGGACATGCCCCAGTGACATAGAGCAACTGCTAGCAACGCGCGGTTTAAAAATATATTCAGCCACGTCCGGTGGGTAAACCTCTTTATGTAGATGTCTTCACATCCACACATTAATCACTTCGCGGAACGGTTTTCCATTTTATGATCAATTTTGCGTTTACCATTAAATGGGAAGGGCGAAAGCATCATAATTTTCGGTTGGGAAAGGAAAGAAATGCACCACCTTAAATTATTTTTGAGACATTTCAGGTTTTTACATCCTCGATTTAGACATCCCCATCCATTTGTGGGGTGTATTGTACTTATGATAATACCCCCGACGAAAAATTCGTCTTTCCCTATTTAGCGCCACTGTTCCGTCTACACGGGGGTTCGGCATTATAAACCATTTTACGCATGGGCATGTCTGTATACGAACATATGAGCATATTTGCGCGAATGCTTGCCATCTTAGCGGTTGGTTTCCGCGCAAAGCTAAACATTTCGCACATTTTGTGAAAATCAAGAATTTAAGGGGGAAAAAAAAAATTAGTAAATTACTCCCCCGCTGCTGTCACTTAAGTGTTTCGTTATGTTCGCGCATGACATAGTGCAAGGGGCGTAAAAAGCGTAAAAGGAAACCGAATGATACGCAATGAGACGAAGTGAAACGAAATGGCGCAAACAAACGGCACGCTCATGCCATGCGAACGTTAAAACGCAATTATGCACGGGGAGCTTGCCACACCATGAATTGTGACGCACTTGAACATGTAACTGATTTGTCGTTCTGTTCGTATTCCTTTTTCAGCACTTCCTGGAAGGAAAAAAAAAAACTCTGAAGTAAAAAAAGTAAGCTAATTAAAAAAGGGCTTACAATGCTGATATGCTTAAGATGCGCAGATTTTTGCAATCAACCGATGGAAACACTGGCAAGCACAAAAAAGGCACATACATGAGAGTATATACATGCCAGCGTGCATATCTCACACGGCACTTATCACAGAATGAAGGAAGGATATATTTCTCATCGCAGTTCTCTGCTGACACGCGTACGAAATGCATGAACAAGAACGTACACTTTTAACCTTTTTTGCAATGTTTTAGATTTTTATTTTGTTAGTCGATTATGGAAGCAATATTTCGTTTTTCTCTTACAAGAACAAGTTTATGTATACAACTTTATTTTTTACTTTCTCCCTAGTACAATTTTTTTTTCTTGACATATATGAGATTACGTTTTAATGTTTTTTCTTTTTTTTTTTTCTTTTTTTTTTCCGCCTCGTTCTTCCCCCTTTTTTCATACAATGTGATTAAGAAGCATTATGTATAACGATACAAAAGGAAACAAAAAAACGTACACAAAGAACTCTTTAGTTTGTTCTAGATGAGTATTTATGAAGTGTAATTCGAAAAGAGGAAGGTCGTAAACCGTATGTTATGAAACAAGCGAAAGTGGAAGAGAAAGGCGAAGAAGCGGAAAAAAAAAAAGAAACAAACAAAAAAAAGAAAGAAAACATTGTATAAGCTTCCTTTTTTATTTTTTTTTTTTGCAAACCTGTACGATCCTTGATGTCACACACAATAGCGAATATGTCCTTAGCATATTTCTTTTTTGTCGTTTTTTTTCTGTTGAATAATGTGTCATGTATAAATTTACAAATAGGAAACCAAAAATATACGTTGAGTTCAAATAAAATAAAAAAAGATATATTAGATTTTTACAACACCTTGAGTCTTTTGAAGTCAGATAAGTACCTAAAAGACAACATCAAAAAAATAAATTTATACACCAAATTTAGGAAGCGATTGTACAAAGATAAGTTAAGCGTTTACGCAAATATCAGCATTAAGGAGAAAAGCGAAGATGTACCCGTTAAAGTTGTAGTTAAAGAAAAGGAAAGTAAAGAGGGGGAGGAGGAGGACAAAAGTGGGAACGGCGCTGGCAGCAGCCTAACAGATCACCAAGAAATTTTCACCAACTTTTTAAATTTCAATAAAAATAACTTTTTTTGTGTAGACGAATTAGGACTTGACGTAAACATTCCTCTGTTAAAAAATAGCAACTTGGGGGCAAACATTGTGTACCAACTCCCAAAGGTGGTGTACATAAATGCATACGCAAATGCATACAACACCATCATCAAGGGGGAGTTCAATACGATCGATATTTTAAAAAGGGTGAGTTTTTTCCAATTCTTTGACAATTTTTATGTGAATGCAAATTACGACTTCAAAAATGAGAAGGCACTTGTAAATTTGGAGAGCAAGCTGTACGAATACTACAATAAATACGGTGATAACATAAGCTTTAACAACAAGATAATAATCGAGCGCAACAACAAGAATGACTACGACGGCTCGGTGTGCCTGTCTCTGAAGTACAACAACAACGTTTTTACGCCCATTTTTAATTTCAAGGACAAGTAATGCTGCACGATGAATTGTGTAGTTCGTGTGTATATGCTTGTGCAATATCCATGTGCATATTTCTACATAGCCCCACATGTAACCTTTCACCTGCGCCCCCATTTCAGATCCTACGAGTACATATACGACAACCTCAGCCCTAATAGGAAGTTCAGCGTAAAGATCGACAAAGACAGGAACATTCACGTCAACTTCTTATCCTTTGATAAGGTGAATGACTCGAATAAATACTTTTTATTTTTTAACTTCGTATTTTCAAATCCTATGCAGTCAATAATAACGTTAAAGCGCGAATTTATTTTTTAAAATGTTTGCCAAGCTGGCATGTATTACGCGACTGTATAGACAAAGCGTTCATTTGAGTTTGCAAGCATGTAACTGAGGAAGTTTTATGATTCCCATCGATAGGAAGCAAAACGATTTATGTAGGTATATAACGTGGGCACAGATGTGCACATACAGGTCTGTGTACACTTCGAGGCCCATAGAGGAAGAATCCTACGTTGGCTCAAAATAGTGAAAAAAAAAGAAAGAAGCACTACAAACTGTTATTTTTTTTTAATGACCCACTGTTACGCACACAAATATGCAAATAAGCATATGAGTGTGCGCGCGTTTGTGCCCTTCCCCTCCCCCCTTTTTCCTTTTAAACAAACAAGTGTGCACGCCGTGTATATGTATACACATGCATCGATGACCTTAGTAAATTAAAAAGACCTCCCCCTTTACAATTTATGGACCTTCCTTTGCTCCATCTATGTTGTGTTAAATGTGTTAATTTTTGAAGGAATGCAAGTGTGATTTTACTTATACATTTAGGCTACTCCTTTTTCGTTTTTTTTTTTTTTTTTTTTTCTATATATATA